CTCCTCCTGCTGCTGCTGCTCCGATGTCGGAGGGGGTGGGGTCGGGGAGGGGGACGTCGGCTGTTGCTGTTGTTGTGGAGGGTTTGTTGGCTGGGTAGGAGGAGGTGGAGGATTGTTAGAGAACAACACAGGGATTATATCTCCTAGCAGATGTGTCAGGCTAGCCTGAGTGGCAGCCTTTTTAGCTTTCGTTACGAATGATGCTCCCCACAATCTGCTGTATTTTTGGCTGGTAGTGGATCATGGGGAGCGGATGAAAGCTAAACAGGCTGCCACTCAGGCTAGTGTCAGTCAGGCCTTTTCTGAGTTTCTATGTCCTTCTCTAGTGATCTGATTTTCTTTTAGAATATTGTTAACGTTAGGTAAAAAGCGTGTTAGACTTACTATATTGATCCACAATTTGGAAAACATATGATACCGTTTCCAACCTATTTAGTTCACCTCCTCTATATCTGCTCCCAGTCATAAAGTTCAATGCTTTCAAAATCAAATCCAATCACTTCAAAAAAAGTAGGCCCAAAAGACTCAGAAAAGCCTGACTGATACATCTGCCTGAGTTTACACTGGGTCACTAAAATAGGTTGTGATGCCATGTATTTTCAGAATAGAAAAGATGAGGACAGTTTGATTCATTTTGCATCATGGAATATGCTGCTCATGTTCTGAACAGCCATGCCTCCATCAAAGCTCTTTCTGCATTTTCAAACAAATTTCTCCACAAGAATCATACCCTCAGGAAATAAAAAGATGTCTTCCACTCTTCAATCCATACAATCAAATTTGTGTGGCTTTTGATGTAAGGAAGGATGATTGGAGTTGTGAGGATGGATATCAAAGCAATTGTTCAGTCACCACAGTTACTGTAGCTTTGTCCAATTTTGCAGTGACGTCTGATTTCTTAGAAGTCAGACCCTGAGCTCAGGCTGTGAAAATGTCAGCACTTTGCCTTGGGGTACACAGTCTGGATGATGTTCTCATCCTGCGAAAGCCTTTTTTCCCTTTTTAAGTACATATCAAATGTACTGCTGTCTGATTGCATGCTGCCAATTTCTCAGAAAAGAGAATGTTAACCAGCAGTAAAGAAAGTGATACAGGTACATGTAACAAATAAACCCCATTCAGCAGAGTTTCATGCGTTTTTAACTGAAGGAGTTACCAACAGAAGGAAAGAAGCATAAACTAACCTCGTATCTCCGCTAGAACAGAAAGAAGGAAGGACAAAGAAGGTGAATAAGACAGAAAGCAAGGTTTGAAAATAAGCCGTAAAATGTAATGAAAAGCACAAAACATACAAGTTAAGATTAGAATAAAAGTATAGAAACAGATAAAATACATTGATGCGAGTAAAAATTATGGCAACCTATCTTAAGTCCCACCCAATCTTACAGATTATAATTTTGTAATTGAGTTAAGTTTTGATTATTTTGTATCTAAAAGCCACAGAACTTTGTTAGTCAGTGAAGTTTCAACAATACTAATGCTACGTTTGTTCCTAACACCCTATATGAGGAAGAATACATGTTACAATTTGAGGACATCTCAAAGCTAGGTTTTTTCCTGACAGGACAACACAGAAGACCAGAATAAGTACAGCAATGGACAGTTTTGGGAAGGAGACACTGAGACGTAGCACCAAACAGCACCCAGGCTGTAGTGGCCTGGAAAAGGGACAGTTAGGAGGAACAGGACTTGGTGAGAAAGTCCAGATCAACAGAGAGGCTGGAGATGAGTCACTGTGGACGGCATACCAGCGGCATGTCCGGACGCTTCTCCGTTTTTCCCGCATCGTCTGCTTGTTTAGTTTCTGCGTCCTCTAGTTGTTTAGTATCTGCGTTGTCTGGTTGTTTACTATCTGCGTTGTCTGGTTGTTTAGTTTCGTCTGTCTCGTTGTGAGGTTTAGGTTTAGATGAGTCCTGGTCTGGGTCCTTTGGCTCAGCTGTGATGAGTGTAGCTTGGTAAGACTAACTATGGCAGGTTATCACTTAAAGAACTAAGTAGCTTATAATTATAATACCTTTTCCAAAATTACAAAAAGTCCAAGGAATCTAGTATAGAAGGATTATGTCTGAACAGCAAACCTTTATTGCTGACTTTTTGTTGTCTAAATCTAGTATTACCAGGACCAAAGAAGTTTGGTGCCAAATTAGCAGGTTGAAGGCTACACTGAAACTATGCTGCTTTGTTAAAGGGGTCAGCTTTCTACTTGTAGTAAAGTTAAACTAAAATTCTGAACTCAATGATTTCTCACTACTTGAAGGAGAATTCTGTCCAAAGAATTGGTACTGCCCAGAACAGTTTTCTTATAAATCTTCTTTAAAACTGAACTCCTGACACAGAATACCGACTTCACACAACTGATGTCTCACCTGCTAATTTTTGTTCTGCCTCTTCAAACTTGGTGAGGACCTCGGAGACCTTGTCAGCGCCGCCCTCCGTGTCACTGCGAGCGTTCTGCAGTGCCCGGCACAGGTTCTCCAGCTTCCCACACTTCGTTCTCAACATGATCAGCTCCTTGTCTCTCGTTTGTTTCTGAAACAAAGAGGAATTTTAAACTTAAATCTCAAGCCAAGTGAAGTATGTTAGAGAAGGTTAGACATCCAGGTAATAAGATACAGCAAAAAACAGTTACTCAAGCAACTGGCTGACCATTTCGAAGATCATATCCAGTTGCTTGAGTAACTGTTTTTTTGGCCAAAGTGAAGTATGCTTATTGAACTTTTGAATTTTTGCTTTGAGCAATACAGGTATACAATACTTTATATGGTTTGTGGACCGTACTTGTATGTACATTCCAACATTTCACAGTAGATATGTCACAACAGAAATAAATTTGCACAACACTTTTAGTTTCCACTGAGGTACTTAAAATTGTATTACAGTATTAAAGGTGGAATAATGCTTTATCTACCTCCTCAGCCATGGCGAGCAGTGTGACGTTAGATTTCTCCCACTTTGTTCTCCACTGGAACGACTCCTTCTCCAGTTTCTTCATCCTTTTGTTCATCTGGGAATGAAGAAACACCAATTTTCTACTGAATACAGGGTTGACAGTTGTACTGTCAGAAATCACAAGCTTTGGACCAGCCTCGAGTCCAGCCTTGTTAGCTTTGGTCCATTGGTGGGGTAGCAGATCTTGGAAAGCAGACTAAAGCTAATAAGGCTGGACTCTAAGCTAGCTTTGGGCTCTAGTAGATGGTTATGTCATATATATTAAACAGCTTGTCACTCTAATGTTCGTAATGAAGATAAAAAAATAAAACACAAGTGCATCGATACAAGGAAAAACGTTATTGATGTAAATGCAGAAAAAATCCCACTCTGCCAAGTTGTGCATGCCTTATGAATGACCTTCATGTTGAAGACTTACTGTGTCCATTTCGGTCTTGAACTTGTTGAAGACCTCGTTGCTCTGATTCAACGTCTTGTGAAGCTCCTCAAACTTCTCTGTGTAAAGTTTCAGCTGAAGGAAACAGCATTTCATCATTGAATACTGAATATCAGCAGTATATTTGCATGATAAAATGTACTGTTACTGTGTGTTAGCATACAGTATACAATGTAGATAATGACTGTAACATTCTGATGTCACACTCTCACAAAACCATCCCAAAGTGTAACAGCTGCAGTTTAGCATGATATCACTAGATGGCACAAGAAATCTATGTTTAACAGAATCAGGTTCTTGAACATTCTTGACGTAATAGTACACCACTCCTAGCAACTGTTTGTTTTGATACCAGGGCAACTTTAATTGCTATGTCTTGTCCAACTTGTGTCATAACTACATCCATTGCCAAAAACTATATCATTGACAACCTTATGGACTGGTCTATATTATATAAGATGTCTCACCTGCATTTTCATGTTCTCCTCCTGTATGGCCATTTGTTCACTCCTCTCCCGATGGGCATAGTTCTCCTTCAGCAGCTGTCATGACAAGAAAATCATCTTGTTATTTGTGTTCTTTGAATTGTTTGATGTCTTTTTAACAATTTGCTGCCTTACAGTGCTTATCATATTAATGCGAAAGTGAAGTGAAATATAGTGAGAGAATGATTGGGTAGGGTCTGCATGTCGGTAGAGATAGACACTGATACTGATATTGCTATACAACACGCAGGTTGCTCAAGTGGTATTCTGCAAAAAGTCTGCTGTATACATTGTATACAATGTATTCATTGATAAAATAATCTATTGGGAAATACTTTAAAGTTGACCAGCCCACTTACCACTTGTTTCTCTGTGAGGAATTTCTCCTTCTCCTCAGCCAGCATCATGGTTGCCTGCTGCAACTTTGCCTCTGCCAGCTGACGCTCCAGGTCCTTCTGTTTTATCAGCTTCTCCACATGCTGACGGGGGAACAACAGGCTTGTAAACTATCACAGGAAGTTCATCACATCAGGGCTTATTTAACCACTGAAGCCCCTGTCACACATAGCCAAATATGACCTCGCGAACACTGCCGAACTCCCCCAAACCATGGTTAGGAGTAACCAAGGTTGGTTCTGGTGGACCGGTGTTTCGGCTACTGTTCCAGGAAAGGGTCTCAATGTGTGGCAGGGGTGTTACAGTCAAACCTGTGCAAGTGACCACCTCTACATAAGGACCACTTGGCCAATGTGACCACTTTTTGGTGGTCCTTAGATAATTTTTCCAAATGACACAAGCATTAAGATAATATAGTGACCACCTGTCCACATAGACCAGATTTTATAAGTCCTCAGAGTGGTGTTCTTGCACAGTTTTGACTGTGAATCCAGCAATACAAACTTGTATTTAACATACCATTTAGTCTACAAACTATTCATGCAAGATCACAGCAGATTTCAACAACATGACAAACAAGCTGTAGATTGGTAACATACACTTGTGTATATCACATGGTAAGGCCAAGGACTTTATACAGTATAATGTCCTTGTATAATGTCCTTGGTAAGGCATAATGCAACATGAACATGCTGTGAACATACAAAACATACTCTTACATTCCCCAATCTTACAACATTGTTCAGATTGTACATGCAGCAGTTGTATTATTTACATTCAAACTTTGTCATGAATAGTCATTGCACATGACAAATCATTATACATACATTGTATTATCATGCCTATCAGGTGTGAAATTTTACTTGAAACATCTGTTAAGGATTCCTAAGTTTAAGTGTATTCTCTAAATTCAATTTGAGCAGTGTACTGTTAGGTGTATAAAACACATGTTAGCCATTCCATGCTGCAGGCTGATGACATTCCAGTTAGTGGCACTCCCTGGCACTCTGAAACAAGCAGAGTTGGTTAGGATCAAACAGTGACAATCCAACAAACACAGTAACTTGTTTCTCAGTAAAGGAAAGTTCCAGATAGTGGACTGGTCAGGTTTTGGAGAACATGTGTAGGCGGCTGTCAAATCTGTTGTCAAGAGGCCAGACAATTTTTGTAGCTCTCTTTCTCCTGTTAGCCTCTTATTCAAACCTATCATAGCTGCCTAGTCTCTTTTGCCAGGTCATAAATTTGTAGAGTGGGCTTGGCTGCTTTAGTAGGATTCGATACTAAGCTGCTCTCTTATTCCTTTCACATGAGAAACAAGAAGCTTTGCTGGTGTGGCCCAAACTGCCTTGTGTTTCACCACCTCTAAATCTACAAGCTTGAATTGCGCTGGTTTAAGTTGTCAGCTTTTAAGCAGAATTTGTAGCATTCATCTTCCAAAAAGGATCAACATTTCAGGAACGATCATAGCATCAGAGGTGCTGAAAGGGTTTATGAAATGATCTCCGCGGAGCTGCGTACTTCCTCGCGCTCCTCGTATTTACTGATGAGCTCCTTCATGCTCTTCATGAGGTCAACGTTCTCCTTCCTCAGCTGGCAGCTCTTCTCCCGGCTGATGTTCATCTGCTCATTGATGTCCTTCAAAAGGACCTACAGAAGGAAGAGTTTCCACAGGGGTGAGGGATTTTGTTGAAAGTAAAGACTTGAAGAGGTGTTGCTCCTTGCAAAGTCTTTTACTCCACCTTGTACTGTTTCATAAAAGGACCTACAGAAGGAAGAGTTTCCTCGGGGGTGAGCACTATTGACAAAAGGACTGAAGTGAAGAGGTCTCCCTGCTCACAAAGTTTTCACTTTTCATCTTCTTGCAATGTTGACAAAAGACCTACATGTATAGAAGAAAAAATTACCACAGGAGTTAGGAATTTTGTAAAAAGGAAGAAGTGAAGCGGTATTGCTGCTCGCAAAGTCTCCTCCTTTGTCTTCTTGCACTGTTCACCTGACCATTTCTGTAATAGCTAGAAGACTTCTGCAACTTCTAGGTTAGTACACAGGGTCCAAATCCTTTCTCCTGTCACCGATCTCTTTCTGCTAGACAAAGTCTTCTGTTTAAAGTTACAGATAATGCCTCAAGTGTTTGCTTTTATGTACTGATGTCCACTTGTCCTGTATGCCTGTAGACTTCACAGCATCTGTAATATAATAAAATGAGCTATCATAAAGATTAATTCCCTGCCCTCCCACTTGTCTAGTACAGACAGAGGTTCTCCACTACCTCCTCTCTCTTCTCGTACTGTTCCACCAAACTCTTCAGCTTCCCACACAGCTCCATGTTCTCCTCCTTCATCTTCAGACTTCTGTCTCTGTTGTCGTCCATCTGTGTGCTGATCTCACCCAGAGTCGTCTGTAACGAACCGCAGGGTGGAACAACATGCCTTAGCTCCATGAATAGTTTCATCAGGTTGGTACGTCACTGAGTAAAGAGACTCTTTTTTCATGTGTAGATATCTGTATTGTACGTTTGGGAATGCATCTACAGCGGCAACACCTGTGCTGCAGTGCAATGTGAACCAGTCAGAATTGCCCTGAGGAAGGTGACAGACGGTCTGAAACTTTGGCTGAATAAAAAACTTAGTTGTGAAAAAAAAGTCTCTTTACTCAAAGTGCCTTAGCTCCCTTACTTTTACATATCATGAGAATTAGACTAGAAATGAGTTTTAAAAAAGACAAGGAAAGTAATGAAAAATCTATATTTTTCTTTAGGAGGAAAGGCAGCGAAGGAACGCATATATTTAGAAAATAAGAGCAATACAAACAAAGGATGATGAACAAAGCTGTGAGCAAAAGAATGCCTGTACCGGTATGATCAAGTTCATAGAAAATGCAGAGGACAAGCTGGACTCTAAAGAGGCTATTAACAGAGAAAAGTTTGAAAAGACCGGTAAGTAAGAAGGAGTAAAGAACACAGAAACAACAACATAAAAACATTTTCATACATGAATCCAACCTACACAAAAAAGTTAAGGGGGAAAGAAACACAGAAACATCTAAAAAATAACTTCATCTCTTAACAATGACTACTGTAGAGTATACAATAACATTAAGCAAATCAAATCAAAGCAAATTATGTTACTGGACATGGATCAGAGTTTATTTCATGGTCAGTTGTTGCACTTTTAAAATATTTGACGTAGAAAAATTGTGAATTCTTTAATCACAGGGATAAAGCAACCAGATACTGACAGGAAATTTGAGGTCTAAATTTGTGAAATTGTAGGGAATTTCTGTCAGAAATCTTTTAATGGAGCCAGGTTCCTTACCTGGAACTTTGAGGAGATCTCCCTTCTCTTTTCTTCTTCTTCCTTCATCTTCCTCTGGGACTCTTCCTACAAGGGGAATAAGAATATCAAATTAACTTCTTCTTTAACAAAAGTGCATTTTCCATAAAGTGTGCACAGGATGTACAGGTATTGCACTAGATTAAATGATGTCATGGATATGTGCAGGTAACAGTGCCTTTGTTGTAACTCTGCTGCTTTTTGCAGAGTATGTGAACAGGATTTAGACTAAATGATGTCTTAGGTACTGCACATTACCTAATGATGTCACAGGTATGTGCCCAGCATTAGAATTTAGATGATGTGATGGGTGTGCCCAGCATTAGATGATGTCATGGCTATGTGCGTACCTTGATGGCCTTGTTGTGCCTCTGCAGCTCTCTGCAGAGACTCTCCAGTTTGCTCCTGGCCAGGAGAGCCTTGCTGTGCTCAGCCTGCAGCTTCTCTTTCTCCCGCAGAACCTGGACAGGAGGGAAGGACAGGGTGAGGGAGACTTTCAAACACAAACCAGAGCCATTGAAGGCAACAACAATACTACACAATACAGTAAATTGTGATGTCTATGGTTGTACCGTAGCTTCTAGAAAAGAATGTACAAAAGCCAAGCAGGATTCTGAAAGGAGATACACATGTAGGAGAGGAAGGTTTGCAAATTTTAAAGACATGGACTTTAAAACAGAAAGTAGAGTCTTTATGGACAGAGAGTCTTTAATGACAGGATTATGTACAATATGAAACATTTACTCATTACATGTAATTATAGATAAGTTGGGTGTGAAAAGTCATTTGATGTAGTTTAGATTAAACCGTTTGTATTTTGAAGAAGCGAACAGTTCTTTGTTGCCCTTGGGCTTACCTGTGTCTGCATTCGCTGACTTGCCTTGAATTCTCTCTGAAGGGACCTGTGATCACCCAGCTGTAAAAAAAAACTGTCAGATACATATGTTTCCTTATAATATCTTTCAATGACATCTAAGAATGCTACCCATTTTACAAACACACTATCATAAATGGCATAGTATCGCAGGTATGTCTATTGACTTGTGGCAACTTTTTATCAGCCTTTCTATGAACATCATCATCATCATCATCATGAACAAGTTACACCAAAGCATGTAGGAATGTCATTTACATGTACATACTCAAATTTGTGTGGGCAGATGTGTCCGGCAGTATAATTTTTATACATGGAGAAAAGAAAAATACATTGACTTTACCAGTTCTGCATATCTTTTCACGATTGCAGCCAATTTTTCGTCAGGGTTGTCCATTGCGTTCAGGGTCTGCATGGTCTGCTTGATGGTCTGCTCAATCTCCTTGGCTGCAGGCACAGAGTAAAAGTTACATCGGACACCTAAACAACCTCTGCAGGCCCCACAAGGGTTACCCATAACAACAGTTACCATGACAAATGTTTGTTAGTTGGGGAGGAGCGCAAGCCATGCACAACCAAGGATTCTGCAAAAAATGTTGTCATTAGCGACAAAAACAAGCAGTGAAGCTTTCCTTGTTTGCATCTGAAGATGAAACAAAAAGTGAACAATTATTCACAAATTGGTTAACTGATCAATCAGCTTATTTAAAGCAGTGGCAACTTCTGAGTAACACCACTACGAGCCATGCAGACATCTACGATGTTTGCATTAGTCCCATATTAATGTTGTCCTAGCTTGTGGCACACCAGGCATCCATGCATACGTCACATACTGTTCACGTCATCTGTAAATGTACTGTACGACTAAAGCAATCATTTGGTTCCTAGATTTTCCCTATGACAACTTCCAAACTGAAGAAGAAATGTTGAAAAATTTTTTTTTGAAGGCTTTCAAAGCAACTGGAGCAAATTTTGTTTGGCTTACAGTGTGTAAAATTCTAAATTGCTTTTCTGTGACTTCTTCCAAGTTTTACTTCATCATTAGGCAAATCCAAGAACCAACAAATTTATCTCCCAGCAGGTTTGTAGTTTTGGCTCACTTTTGTACATCTTTTTCATGCAACTTTAACTTTAAGGTGGTAATCTTATTAAGGAGTTACTTCACAACAAAAAAGGACTCTCTGGTAGTGTGCAAAACCAATGCGTAGATTAAAAAAAAGTGAGCCAAAGTTAAGCTAGCACTGCCCAGAGATCACAACATAGCCCGAGTGTCAGCCTTTTTAGCTTTCGTCTGCTGCCCACGATCCCGGTAGCGGATCGTAGGGAGTGAACAAAAGCTAAAAAGGCTGACACTCAGGCTAATCACAACCCTGCTGTTACTAAACTTCACAGGACACCAGTGTGAACATAATGGCTGAGCAGGTACGTATACAACAGGCCAAGCTAGCTTCACCACAAGCTCATGCACGACTGTTGCTTGCGAGCGAGCCCCGGGCTTGCAGGTGGAAGCGAGGGGTTCTTACCGTCCACTGCGCTACCCTCGGCTCCGCCCTGCTTGCCTGTGGACAGGGACAGAGACAGAAGGAAACAGAGATGGATCTTCACCCAGGTTCAGCTTACTATAAATCTTGAAACTTTTGCAGAGGTTTTATTAATTTCTCGTCTTCTCCACATGATCTGCAAATTATGTCTCCCTTGTATAACTACTGTACTACAGAATTGTATCAATTGCAAATCAAAAACACAGTGAAAATTAAACCTCCCTTTCCCAATATATTACTGTATCTGCATAGCTGGTGCAATGCAGGCATTGGGTCTGACACACCCTGAGGGCAAATCACAGGTAAAAGAAAAGACTTGTCTGAATCCTCAAGACATTTATTCAGTCATTTACCTGTGATTCATATTATTACATGTAATTCTCATTAGTTCTCAGATTTTAAAGTCAACACTGTGCATCTTTTACATCTCATATCCTGGACACCCTTGTAACTTGTAAGCCTTACTTCCACTTTGCTTTAGATTACAACTATCTTAGACCCATTAAGTTAACACCTTTATACAATTGTTAACCTGTGATTCATATTGCTTCTCTGAGGTTATACCTATGCCGTGCATCTTTACATTTTTATCACTACCATATTTAGCTTATATCCTGGCCACCATTCCCTTGTAAGTTGTAACCCTTATCTCCACATCAATTGCCTTATCATCCTAGACCCACCAAGACCCTGTCTGTGTGCACATGTGGTTATTGAAACCTTAACCCATGACCCCTACAGCTGAGTTCTATCTTACCATCAGGGCCAGTATTCTGTAAGGCGGCTTCAATGCCCCACCTGTACCCTACAGGAGGTCAAGGTTAAGGTCAAGGTCAACATCAGGATATGAAAATATATACTCTTACGTAGTTATCTTAGAGACTTTTAATGAATTTGCGTTAAAACATTGCACCTTGCACCACTGCAAGACTTTCTGCTAGTTCAATAAATAATCAATATCTTACTGGCTCTACCATGCTATCATATAGCACAGATCTATGTAAAATCATTAGCCAACCTGGAACGCTTAGCAAAGTTAGCATGTATTATTGATTCCGAATCTCCAACATTGATAAAAATGGAGAACATAGGATATTGGCATCACGGTAAACTGTCTGCAGCAAAAGTACTGGATGTTGCACAAACTAAATAATTCAGTTTGTGTCTGTTGGAAGATTGTGGCTGGAAATGTTCCAAAAACAAGGTATTGACATTTTGTGCTTCTATTCTATAGATTGTTGAGTCGGTTCTCATGGGAACAACCGTATCTATTATGGCTCAATTTTGTGTGTTTTACATTTTGCATCCAGCAAAAATGGTTCAAAGACAATATACTTACTCAATTTCATACATGTCTTTACCTAACATGTACATTAAAACGTTTTCTGTGATTAAAAATCTTGTTTAGATAAGAAATTTCCCTGTATATGACACGTCCTGACTGACAAGTGATGGCATCATGTGAATTGATTTGAATCACAAACACCCTGTCACTGGTGGTATCATACATTAATATGATGGAACAAAACAACTGGCACTATCAGAGCAGCTGTAGATATATATAATACATGCACATGTATTATAGGGGTCCTACATCATTCAATTTTGTTTCATCTATTATGGAGTAAGGGGTATTCTAATGTTACACTTGACTATTGGTGAATGTCATTGCCATGATTCTTTTACTTTGACAGCAGCAAATGTCATAACACATTTTTCAGCATGAATACTGCAAAAAATAATATTTTCCAAGTACATTTGTACTAGTAAACGTTTGCTGATTCAGCTGTTTTCCTTGCCAGTTGTTGCACAATCTGAGTGAAGAGACTGTCCTGGGTAAATACAGCTCATTCCTGACTAAATATAGCCCTGCAGCTGTGTAAGGGACATGATGGAGGGCGAGGTTATACAGCTATATACGGCAGGGGCCACATGGCGTGCGTCTGGTAGTGACACCAGTCTGACTCTGAGTTTGACTTTGCTCCAACGTACCCTTTCTGGGGACGTTACATACACATGCACATACAAATTTTTGGAAAAGGAAAGGAAATGTCTTTCGGTCAGCAATGGGAATTTTGCTTTACAAACAATAATATAGTTTGATACAATTAATGTTTCACAGGAATCACTGTTGTTTGGTGGGGAATGGGATAAAGGTATTAAAGACTTATTGCTAAATACATATCTATCAGAATATATTTTTGCAAGAATTGAGGGACGTTTTTTCACAATTGTGAAACTTTATCTTAACCAGGAAATTTATGTATGACACAAAATCCTAAATGAGTGTTTTTCATTCTAGCCCTTTCCGGGTTCCCCAGACCAAACTTGCAGTGATATCAATATACAGTATTGTGTAGTAAGTAGAGTATAATTGTAGAGTAAAATCAAATTTCAAGAGCTCATACAAAGTATATAGCAGAATCCAGAAGTCAGGGATGAGGGAATGAGAGGAAATACACGAAGTGTCTAAATCAGTTTTCTTGCGCTGTAAACTCACCCTTCTTGGTCTTCTTCTTGTCCTTCTTCTTGTCAACTGCAGAACTGCCATTTTCTCTCAGGTCTGACTCGGGGGTGGGGCTAGGGCTGGGGCTGGGGGTGTCCTCCTCAGGGGGAGGGGTGCTGATGTCTGCTGTCTCCTCAAGGATGCTGCAGTCGGGCTCTGCGTCTTGAGACATCACTGAGCATGCTGGGACCTCCTGGGCAGTAGGTTCTGATGCTACACCCTGGAGGGAAGGACGTCAGGTATCAACCAAGACTCAAGACATTGAGAAATTCCTTTTTGAGATTATTTTCTTGACTTACTCTTATCTAACAGACTCTGAGAGCACTCAAAATGTCTTATGTAAAAATGAGAACAATAGACATTGACACCTGATTGGTATATGCTTCCTTTAAAGGAGTACTAACCTCCAGAAAGGGGTGCTATATTTCGACAGGCATTTATTTTTGGAAGTTAAAAATGCATATTATTTTACAGTATATAATTAAATGCCCATTTTGCGAGCAAGCCTTAAAACGCATCGAATCCAGGACAAACTCTCCAAATACCCTCAAAACTATCCCAGAATACACCACGCTACCCCATTAGTGCCTATGTTTTAAACAAAAAGTTACGTTACAGACCTCATTTCGGGGGCGATAAGAAAAATTCGTACCGTTTTGTGTTCTTTGGTATCTTACCAACCATTGCCCTTCTTGGTGTCCTTATCGCCCCTCATTTATGCCGCAAATATTGATGATGAAAACAACGGCGTAATCTATTTATCTTTTTCATAAGTGGCGTAATCTAATTATCTGTTCAAGTTATACTTACATGCAAATGAGTTGAGAAACTCAAAACACACAGGATGAAACTGGCGCCCACTGTATTCGACATCATGATATTATAATATCCAAGCCACAGGTCAAGCAAAGTAAAGCAAGTAATTTCTCAATAATCAGCTTGTTAGTGTGCTTGTCTCCTACCATTTTCGCCAAAAAATGTTTATGTTGACCTGAAGTGTATGGGTATTGCGTAAGCCAGAGTTCCCGGATGTATCAATTGTGGTTCAGCATGGGGGAAAATGATATTAATATCACTTTACAAACATGCGCCGCGCAACTTGTACAAGCGAAATTATGTAAAAAGTCGGCTAGTTATGTATTCATTGCAGCATGATGTATCGGAAAATAGCACTTCGTTCTGGAGGTTAGTACTCCTTTAAACAGTACTTAAGCTATATATGTACTATGATATTTCAGGTGTCATAACAGCTTTATAAGTGGCAATCTACTGAAATCAAGATAATCTCAGAAGCAAAATAGTACTTCAAACAATAAGCCAGTACCAGTATCAGTCTAAACAGGGTTGTAAAAGTTAGAACTGAAGGTAGCAATCATTACACCAGGCTCCTATATGATGATAGACACACAACTTGTAATGTACAGACAATGAGGTGTCATAATTGATAACGTTCTTTGAACTAAACCAGTTTGTCTAGTCTGGGGCTTATATAATTAATAGGCAATGCCCACATCTAGTGCTTACTATGCCTTGGGGAAGATAGGCAGTGTGGAAATTTGGGACGAATATTAGATTACCCTGGGGAATGAAATAGATTTTTCTTCAATTCACGAGAAATTGTTCTCAATCAAATTATTTCCTGCTTTGAACTCTGTGCTTGTTAAGCAGTTATGTTAGAAAATCTACACACAGTTGAGATGCTGACTTTCTTGGTGCCATATAATTGAAAATAGAATTTTATATTAAAACAACTGTGGACAAGGAAATTATAGAATAGTCTAACTCTTATACACTGACTTTTACATGAAATAATTAGTTCTTTAAAGCTACAGTTTCATGGGGTTAATCTATGTAACTACTTCACTGTAGCTGTATGTAATTACATGGCAGTACGATTTTACGATCGTAAGTTTTAACATAGCTTTACTAAACTGCTTCCCCCTAACTCTACCCCCCTCGCCCTCCCCACAACATTTTTTTCCACAGCCCATGTGCTTCCGTGTCTTACAATCCTTAGCTAGTAAGCCACAGGACAGTTAGATAGTTCTAAACCACTATCATCGAATCATCCAAAGTCTCGCTCCGACATTGACATTTTCCTGACGAAACTTAGACACTTTCTCGACGTCCCAGTCGCGAATTTTTCGCCAAATCGCCAAATTTGGAGACAGACGTTCGGCCCATGTCCAACTTCGGCATACCAAAACAGACGATGGAATTCTCAGCCTCCGCGAGTCCAACTGGGAAAAAATCGCAATCGGACGAAGACGCAAGGACCTACGACTTTCATCTGTATGAAACGGTGATATGAATTAAAATGATAGCTTCAATGCGCGGGAAAAATCAACGTTTTTTACCTGGGCTTCGGGAGAACCGTTCATGTTGTCCGCCATGATGTGACGTCACGTGCGAAAGGACGGGCCCATTCTACAGAGGGGGTGTTTGAGGGAATGGAATGTACCAAAAATCAGGAGCTGCAAGCTGAAAGTTTGTGAAAGTTTTAATTGGAGTAGTTTGAAGGAAACTATTTCACCCATTTCACCAGGAATACATTCAGACTGTTTGTAAATTATCTCTTTGCTAAAATTGACAGTTTGTTTTCTATTTTGTAATTACTTATCCCCATTGATGTACATTTTGTGCTGTTACCTTCTTATCAAAACATTGACATTTTGAGGATGGCACTCTGAAAAACATGTGCTGTACCTACGTCAGTAGTTCAAAAGGCTTCATAATTCCAAAGACATTTAACTATAACATTATGTGCACACACACATCTGTTTTATACTGGATGTAGAGCATGCAAGGAGCTCTGTTACACACACATACATCAAGGACGTTCTACAGAACCTCTTGTAGAACGCCCTTGCATACATTGAAGAGTGATATAAAGAACAACAACACTTTGTCTCATACAGCAGTCAAGTTTATTTTATCTCTCTAACTCACTGGCTTCTCAATGCCTTCCAAAAAGTTTTGCGGACAACAAAGTCTACCCAGTAGACAGACCCTGACGCCAGGGCACCATCGCAAGTACATTTGCAATCAAAATTACTTTTCAGAATACATGTAGACAAGATACTTCACACCCCCTTAATTACTGTTTGTTCACTGTTAGTGGATAGAATGCTCTCTAGCTTAGCCTTCATAACAAAATGTGTGTAACGTTATCTTCCAGTCACATTTATCCACCAAGTTACATACGTACTAGTATCTCTGCCACTTCGAAAAACAGTGTATTTGAGAGATCTCTGGCCTGAGTGCAGCACCCCCAAGTGTGCAGTTTAGATGAGCAGAAGTGCATTCAATTATACTGAGGGACGTTGCCTTGGAGAACTCTTTAATCAAGGACGTTTTACAAGGACGTCCTTGCTATAATGCATTTTTGCAGGGTGGTGGATAACTGTGACCTGGTTGGATTATGCTAGCAGAAATTACAAACAATTCCTAAGAATCATAATCACCTATCACTGTTAGTTTATGCTTACTTGTGATCGCGAGCAATATGGGAGTGAGCGCAAACTAACAAGCATAGTATCCAGGCTAAGGGTCATATAGAGTGGTCATATGAACGTATAGAAGTTTTACATTAGAGCAACAGGATTATCTACATGTAACAGTATATATAATAGAAGTCCATATGTCAATGTTGCCTAATATGCATCTCTTATAAAAACAGATATCTAGATGTACAAACTACGTTTGTAAGTTCTGAATACAACAGTATAATAAAGATGTTCCAAACTCTTCCACATGTTATTATTAGTTCAATATATTTTTCAAGTGGCACATTGACAGTATATTGAATGTGCAGCATACAAAAACCTGTAACACAACATACATTATGTTTAAACAAATCCCTGGACTATATGGTTAGATTGCCTTGATAGTTGCCTTGAAAAAACTTGTGTCCACTATAAAACACTAATGTAAGCCCACTTTTTGCAAAGTATGGCCCACTAACACAAAAACCTGGCCGACAAATCCCACACTGTATTGCTTCCGAAGTCCAACATTTGGATGGAACTGGGCCACCATGTTTCTGACTGAACCTTGGTTATGTGTCAGTGGCAGGTATGTAATCGTATGCGATTTGCAGAGAATCGCACAGCGAGTTTCGTCCTCCTAGGGGACGAAAGTCGCAGGCTGCGAGTTTCTTCACCTGAGAGCGGGGGCGCGCAAACTACCCTATTCGTGCGAATATCGTCGATCTTACGCTGGGCCGCGCACACGTACGTAGGTAACCCTTATTAGTGCTACCGGGGCCGCGCACGGCTTTTTACCTACCAACGGAGCCGGGCAGACATTTACCGATGTTGTGTTCACCTGCACTCCTGATATCCTCCTTGTTCAATGTCCCCGATCTGGGGAGGACGCGCAGGCCAGGCCCAGCTCAGGGGGCCGAAAAATTCAAAGGAACCCTTTGCGTACGCACAACATGTCCAGCATTTTCGTTGGATCGCAAGGGAATAGAAATAAACAAAAGCTTTATAGACATATCCTTCTGGTAATCTGTGTCTAGTATTTTTCAGGTAGAATCCAAGGTCAATACAGCAGTTTGCGCCACCAAATTATTCACTTCCGGTAAGTTTGTAGCTCAGTAGGCAGGATAACATCCAAAGGTAAGTGATCGCAGCAGAGCGGCACATACCGGGTGAGATCATCAGGCACACAGCGCCGTGGAAAAGGTTGGTATTGCATCTAGCTACAGAGAATAAATATTTCCTACATTATTTGTTTAAGTAGTAGTCTACCAAAAACCAGAGAACGATTTGAATATTTTTCACACACTACTTCAAGTTCATGTCTTTAACATTGTGTAAATGTTGATTTTCAGTGGAGGTGGGGCATGTATCTGAGCTAGAGTGTGCTTGCATTGTGCATAAACCTTAAACGAAAAACAACAACTTAAAACAAAACGTGATATTGCCATAGTATCAAGCTATAAACAAATTTCAGTACATGATAGTGTGTCAGCTCATATGGAGTCAATATGAGGCCAGCTTCTTAAACTGTTCTTACATGGCACAGCTTGTGAAGTTACACGAAATATAATATTTTATGCATACACGTGTTACAAGGTTAGGTCAAATATACCTTCTAGTACCTTCATTTCACAAAATCTACAATAAGTATCTTAAGATTATACACAAAGAGGAAGATTTCAAGTTTTAGATTCACAAGAAAAAAAGCTCCATTTCAATCAAGCATAGCTTGTACATAGTTATCAGAATTTGCAAAGCTTTCAAAGTCCAAAACTCATACCTACTTGTTCTAAGTTCATTTTGCATCATCAACGCAGAACAGAAAACACACCAAGCTAACAAGAAACTCGTGGAGATGTGTAGAGTGGTACTTGTATTTGATAACGTAACATATTGGAAATATTGAAGGCTACTCCAACCTTGTCATTAGAATTGCAATACTTCATGACAATGAAAGCATTTTGACACTCAAAATGGCAGTTAATTTGCAGCATAGCACATTAAGTAGACAAACTTTGAACATGCAAAACTGTAGAAGACTGCTACAATCTACTATATTTCATATAATATCATAATAATCAACACCTGATGAGGCATAGGTCACACTAAACATTTCGATGGTCATAGGTACTTATGACCTTATCAGTTGTACACAGATGTCAATGACGTCAGCAGACAGATGTGCACAGGAATCAATGATGTCAGCAGAAATAACTACACAGAGTTTGAACATGTCACTACCTGAAGCACCAGTTTGCAGAAACTGGTAAAGTCTTACAATGTCATCATATCATGTGAGGAACAATGACAACAAATGGTTTGGTACACGACCACGAGGTATTCTAGTACACTGCTATACTACTAGCCTGTGAAGCACCAGCTCTTTGTCCGGCGCTCAAGGAGCGAAAAGTGAGGTTCAGTCAAACTACCATACTACAAGGCAGGCCTCGAAATTAACTTTTTTTTACTATTGTCCCAAAATTGTCCCAAAAATAGATTCCAATTGTCCCGAACTGAGGATGGACTGTCCCAGCCTGCTTTTCAGGAAATAAGTTTATGACAACAATAAGAAAACAACAACAACTGAATTTGTACAACTTGAAGTCCACTAAGTTAGTACAGTAAATGTCCATCATTTTCCTTGACTGTAGGGAAATGCATGATAGTATCATGGGCGCAGCACCATCTTCAACGCCCCCCCTCCCCATGCAACATTTGGAATCCCCGATTGGTCAAATTTAAATGTTTGTCAGAGTATTATGGGCTACCAGCAGCCCGCAGCAGGATGGATGGATCATGTTCCTAAATGATGTGGACAGTCTCAGAT